AAAAGAGGAATTGCAGTAGGTAAATCTAGTGTCAGGGATCTCTCGAGAGTACTGAGAAGCAACAGTGTCAGTCTAGAGAGTAAGGTGCACCTAAATCCAGGTCATGGTCTTTGCAGTTACTTGTCATATATAGAGAGCTGAACAATTGACTAAGGACAACAGAAGAAGAATCAATGACTTTGAGTTGTGCAGAAGAAGAGTCTTGAACATGCCATGGACCACCAAGAAAACAAATAGGTCTGCCTTGGAGAGATTGAAACCAGGTTTCTCTGTGGAGGCTAGGATTTTAAAGCTCTGTTTCACATACTTTGGGCATGTCACCACGAGAGACTGATTCTTGGAGAAGGACATTATGATTGGAAGTGTGGAGGGACAGTGAAGGAGAGGAAGACTCTGGATGAGACGGATTGATTCAGTAAGTAGGTCAATAGGAGGTAGGTGTGTCAGAGTCAGATTTGCTCAGGACAGGGCAGGCTTCAGAACCATTGCACGAATGGTTGCTATGAATCACAGGCCACTCAATGGCACATAACATACAAGTCCAAAAGAACCAATGCTTGGCTTGTAATCTTTATTGTATTTTATTTTTATTTTTTTTAGAAAATATATACTTTATTTGGTATTAATAGGTTTGAACATATTCTTTTTTAAAAATTTCCAATCATTCATTGTTACACATTTTTCTCTCTGTCCCCCCTCCCTCCCAGTTTGCTTTTTTTCTTTGGGGAAAAAAGTTCTTTCATTGCAATACAGTTCCCCCCACCCCCCGACCACTTTACTATGCAACTCTTATTCTGGAACTCTTGTCATGCCAATAATGCCTATTCATACTTTTACACAGTTATCTCCCTCGTCTGTTTCAGTGTCATGTATATTATTTATCCCCTCTTTTCTAAATTTCACGCCAACCCCCCTATAAGTCCTGTTCTATAACAGTGGTATTTTACAGCATTTGTCTTTTTATGACTGAGATATTTCACTCAGCATAATGTCCTCCGTGGTCACCCATTTTGTATAATATTTCATGAGTTCTTTCTTTGTTTTTCAGTGCTGCATAATATTCCATTGTGTGACTATACCACAGCTTCTCTAACCATTCATTTGTTGATGGGCACTTAGGCTGTTTCCAACTCCTTGCTACTGTGAACAAAGCCGTGATAAACATGGGTGTGCATATATCTGCTTGGGTGGCAGTTATGGTATCTGGGGTATATTCCCAGTAGTGGAATTGCTGGGTCAAATGGTATTTCCGTTTGCAACGTTTTGAAACAGTGCCATACAGCCTTCTGTGGTGGTTGCACCATTTTACACTCCCACCAACAATGAGTAAGGGTTGCAGTTTCTCCACAGCCTTGCCAGCATTTGTTGTTTGCTGTTTTGTTAAATTTTGCTATTGTTACAGGAGTGAGATGATACCTTATAGTTGTTTTGATTTGAATCTCTTATAGTTAAGGATTTTGAACATTTCTTCATGTGTTTGTTCGCCATGTTTTCTTTGGTGAAATGTCTGTTCATATTCTGTGTCCATTTTTCATTTGGGTTGCTTACCTTTATCTTGTCGTGGTGTCTCTAATGTATTTTTGTTATCCATTTCATCTCTTCCTGCTTTTTTAAAACTCCAATATGATTATCTTTTATTTTTTAAACTGTGATTTTAAGGAAAGTTTGCAGAGAGATTGGGCTTTCGTTCATTGATCGCTGCTCATTTTCATCCTCCTGTTTCTTTCCCTTCACTCCAAATCACTTTATAATGCACTTCTCACTCCAAATTGTTAATAGTCATACATATAAAGCCTAGACATACATTCCTTTCAGAAGACCTTTCCTTCTGTTCCAATGTGCTGTTCATGTTCTAGTCTCTTTTCTTGTTCCCTTCTTCACAGTGTCAATCTTATGTTTATAACAGCAGTCTATGCACTATTTTCCCTTCTGTGAGTGAGATACTCCACTTAGCATAATGTCTCCCACACTAATCTCTGTTGTTTGGTGTTTTACAAGTTCATGGATTTTTCAGTGCTGCATAATATTCCATTGTGTGACAGTGTCATGGTTTTTCTATCCATTAAATTTTTAATTTATAACATAAACAGGCTTCCTAACTTAAAGAACACCCTACAATCAGGAGAGAATAAAATAGATGAACGGGACCTTCTAAAAAGCAAATCCCTGCTCACCTGCTCACATAAACACACACACACACACACACACACACACACACACACACACAACACCAAAACCACACAACCCAACAACAACAACTCCTACAGGGCAAAAAGGAAACCCACAAATTTGGGGGAAATATTTGGAAATGACATATCTGACAAAAAACTCATATCTAAAATTTATCAAACACCCAAGCACCTAAACAGAAAAAAGGCAACCCAGTCACAAAATGGGCACCAGATGTGTACAGCTACTTCACCAAAAAAGACATTCAGATGGCCAAAAACACATGAAGACACGTTCAAAATCTCTATGTATCACCGATACGCAAATCGAAACCACAATGGCATACTATCTCACCCCAGCAACAATAGTGAAATTCAACACAGCAAGCAACAAATGGTGGTGAGGATGTAGAGACTGAATGTAAAATAGTATAACCATTATACTATTTAGCAGGCAGTCTGGCGCTGTCTTAAAAAATTGGAAGTAGAAATACCATTTGACGCAGTTATCCCACTACTGGGAATATGCCCTAAAGTCACCAGAGCCATAATGCAAACAGATGTATGCAAACCCATGTTTATTTCAGGATTATTCACAGTAATTCACACAATAGCAAAGAGATGGAAGCAGCCCAATGCCTGTCACTTTTTGCTTTTTTTTAAATTATTTACTTTGACCCTTGCTATAGTATTCTGTCCTTGCCACAATTTTCCCCCTTTACTTCTGAAGCCTTTTTCCTTTTCTAATATATTTCAATTAAGACTTTAAAATTGCATTTATAAACTGCTTACTTACTACCCAAATTGTTGTGAAGTGTGGTTTCATTATTCTTATTCAGTACATCAACAGAAAACTGCCAGACGGACAAGGCTGGGTCTAGAAGTGGTCGTGGCACAACATCAGATGGATCTTGGCAGAAAGCAGAGAGTACTAGAAGAATGTCTGTGTTTCATTGACTATGCAAAGATATTTGACTGTGTGGATCACAACAAACTGTAACTAATTTCTAAGAATGGGAATCCCAGAACACTTGATTGTGCTCGTGTGAAACATATGCCACACCAGGAAGCAGTTGTCAGCACAGAGCAAGAAAACAGTGTGGTTCAAAGCCAGGAAAGGAGTGTTTCAGGAATGCATCTTGTCTCCATATCTTTTCAATCTATATGCAGAGTAGATCATTTGGGAGGCTGAGCTTTATGAGGAGGAATGTGGCATCAGAATTGGAAGAAGACTCATCAACAACCTATGTTATGCAGATGACACAACCTTGCTTGCTGAAACCGAGCAGGACCTGAAGTGCTTGCTTCAGAAGGTCAAGGATTGTAGTCTTCAATATGGATTGAAGCTCAACATCAAGAAGACAAAGATTCTCACCACTGGGCCAATTGGCAATACCTTGATAGATGGAGAAGAGATAGAGGTTTTTAATAATTACAGCTTGCTCAGTTCCACAATCAACACTCTTGACACCAGCAGTCAGGAAATCAAAAGACGAATTGCATTGAGAAAATCTGCAATTATTTATTGCAGATAAATAGGTCTTTATCTCTTATAGTTGTATTGGTTGGTTTTTTGTTTGTTTGTTTATGTGAGCAGGGTCCTCTCCAAAGTACTGAGAAGCAACGATGTCAGTCTAGAGACTAAGGTGCACCTGATCAAAGCCATAATCTTCACAATTACTTGTACTGCATCAGAGAGCTAGAGAATGATAGAAGAAGAATAGATGCCTTTGAGTTGTGGTGCTGGAGAAGAGTCTTGAATATACCATGGACTACCAAGAAATCAAGTCTGTCTTGGAGAGATTGAAACAAGGTTTTATTTGGAGGCTATGATTTTGAAGCTTTGACTCACATACTTAGGACATGTGACTAGGAAGAACCAGCCCTTGAAGAAGGACATCATGCCTGGAAAGGTGGACAGACAGTGCAGAAGAGGAAAACCCTGGGTGACATGGATCCATACAGTAACTGGGGCAATGGAGGTAGGTGTGTCAGAGTCAGTGAGACTGGCGCAGGACCGGGCAGGCTTCAGAGCTGCTATCCATAGGGTTGCTATGAGTTGTAAGTGACTTGACAGCACACAACAACAACAACAACATTCAGTTCATAACCCTTTATGATTTCCATTTGATTTTTTTCCTTGACGTGTTGGTTGTTCTAAGAAAAGTTTGGGGATTTTGGTACTTTTTTTTTTCTTATTGGCATATTTCCTGTCTCAGTTACAGTGCTCAAATTTGTAAAGCTTTGTTCAATTCCTAAGCCCTTGGCCTCCAGAACTGTTGGCTAATTGCAGTGAAATAGTCCTAGTGGGCCATTCTGGGTCTTTTTTTCTCCACAGCCTTGTCTCTATAATTTTTTTCCTTCCTTGAAGAATATTCATTGCCTTAAGATTTATTTTCGGCTATTTTTCCAGTTGTCCTAAGCACAAGAGTTAATCTAAATTACCGAGTCTTCTGTAACTAAAAGCAGTAAGAGTAGTGATTTTTAATTGCTTTAAAAGTCATAATAGGGTAAGCATGAGAATCAAGAAACATCTAGGACAGAGAGCATTAAAAGATTTAGCAGGAATAGAGAACCAATAAAAACACCAACCTGTGTCTAATGAATAGAAACAATGGGAAATAGCATGGTATTTATATTAGTTATGAATTACTGCATTACAAATTACAACTCATTTGCTCACATAAAAAAACCAACCCCCAAAACACATATCTCACAGTTTCTGTGGGTCAGTAAATCAAGCGTGGCTTTATTAGCTCTTCACCTTAAGGTTCCCCACAGGGTTGGTGTAGACTCTTGCATATCTTATGGACTTCAAAAAAAACCAAAGATATGTGTCTAGAATATGGGAAAATTAGACAGGTAATAGTTAATATGTGACAGATGACTTCTGGAAATGCAGCAAATAAAAGATCAGAGCCCAAGTAACAAGGAAAACAGGACAAGATTTCATGGAAACAAATGATGTTTGGACAGAAATTGAACCATAAAAATCTCCCTAGCCTCTTCTGAGATTTAATGCACGGTGACAGTGGCACAAAGCTATACAGCTGAAAATAGAAACAAGTTCACCTAGAGGCCGTGCATACTTTTGTGGGAAGAAAAACAAAACAGCATCTGTGCATGATGTGAATTCGTTTTGCCCACCGTAATCATCTGAGAATATTCTATCACTCAACATGAGTTTATGTGCTTAATGATTGATATATATGCTCTAAACTGATTTTACACTAAGCATCTCAGTGTATTTTGAGTGTAGAGGCCAACTCTCATTTAACAAAGTATATAGTCTTGGTAGTGCTGAGGAGTGGCGACAAGTAGGTCAATTTATCCTAATTTTTGAAACCAGTCATCTAATTTTTGCTCAAGTTCATGAATGATTGCATACTTGGAAGTGTTTCATGTCAGTTTTATACATACATATTCAAATGCCAACTATTTTAATAAGTTTTTAATGTTTTGGGGTTTGTGTGTTGTTTTGTTTTTTCTATATAGGATCCAAATGAAGATACAGAGTGGAATGAAATCCTAAGAGACTTTGGCATTCTTCCCCCAAAAGAAGAGCCGAAAGATGAAATTGAAGAAATGGTTTTACGTTTACAGAAAGAAGCAATGGGTATAGTTGTGCCCCTGGTGGGCTGGGTGAAGAGGCTAGAAGAGTTATAATAGTAATAGCATATTTCATGAGCTGAGAGTAGGAGGGAGGATGTTAAAGTCATTTAATTTGAACCCCATGAGTAATTTCAAAATTGGGATGCTGGCACTGTTGTTGTTGTTGATTGCCTTCGAGTTGAGCACGACTCATAGCAACCCTATAGACAAAAGGCCTGAAACCCCTCTACAACTATCAATGTTTATCAAAGTTCATAGAGTTTCCAGAGGCATGTTATTTAAGAAGTGGGTGCCACTCCTGCTTCCAAAACCGTCATAGTATGTTATTGTTTTTATGTGCCACTGAGTCGCCTGCGATGTATAGTGACCCTATGTACAGCAGCTCTAAACCCTTCCTTGTCCTGAGCCAGTATCACTAATTCAGACACACCAACCCCCATAGCCCCAGTTACTGTATCAATCCATCTCATTCGGGGTCTCCCTCTCCCGCAATGTCCATCCACCATTCCAAGCATAATGTCTTTGTCTTAGGACTGATCTCTCCTGGCCATGTGCCCCAAAAATTGAGGTGGAGCTTCAAAATCCTAGCCTCTAAGGAAAGACTTGATTTCACACTCTCTAAGACAGACCTATTTGTTTTCTTGGCAGTCCATGGTATGTTCAAGACTCTTCTCCAGCACCACAACTCAAAGGCATTTATTGTTCTTCTGTCATCCTTAGTCATTTTCCAGCTCTCTGAAGCATAACAATTAACTGAGAAGACCATGGCCTGGATTAGAGTCATCTTTGTATCTAGACTGACATTGTTGCTCTTCAGCACTCTGGAGAGGTCCATGACAGCAGATTTTCCAAATGCAATTCATCTTTTGACTGTTGATCATAGATCCAAGCAAGTTGTAATTGTTAACAACTCAATCTCTTCTCCATCCAATATGGTGCTGCCAGTTGGCTCAGTGGTGAGAATCTTTGTCTTCTTGATGTTGAGCTTCAATCCATATTGAAGACCACAGTCCTTGATGTTTTTGCAGCAAGAGCTTCAGGTCGTCCTCAGTTTCAGCATATTGTAGGTTGTTAATGAGTCTTCTTCTAATCCTAATGCCACACTCCTCCTCATAAAGCCCTGCTTCTCGAATGATCTGTTCTGAATACAGATTGAAAAGGTACAGGGACAAGATACATCCCTGATGCCCTCCTTTCCTGATTTTGAACCGTGCAATGTTTCCTTGCTCTGTTCTGAGGACTGCTTCTTGGTCTAGATTTTGTATAAGTATGAGCAAGTGCTCTGAGATTCCCATTTTCCTCAAGGTTAGCCACAATTTGTTGTGATCCACGCAGTCAAATGCCTTTGCATAGTCAATGAACCACAGGTAGACATTCTTCTGGTACTCTCTGATTTCTGCCAAAATCCATCTGACATTGGCAATAATGTCCCTAGTGCCATGACCTTTTCTAAACTCAGCCTGTATTTCTGATAGTTCTCTGTCAATGTTCAAGTCTTTTCTGGATAATCTTCAGCAGGATTTTGACTCTGTATATACTCCTTCCATCTGCTTTAATGCTTCTTGAATCATTCAATATCCTACCCATAGCATCCTTAAGCATTGCAACTCATGGCTTGAATTTATTATTTATTTCTTTCAGCTTAAAACATGCCGAGCGAGTTCGGCCCTTTTGATTTTCCAACTCCAGCACCTTGCACATTTCATTATAATATTTTGCCTTGTCTTCCCAAGAAGCCCTTTGAAATCTTCTAGTAAGCTCCTTAAACTTCTTGATTTATTCCCTTTGCTTAGGCTTCTCAGTGCTCTATTTCAAAGTCTCTTCTGCCATCCATTTTCTTTTCTTTTTCTTCCTTCTTAGTAATGACATTTTGCATTCTTCATGAACAATATTCTTGATATCTTTCCACAGCTTATTTGGTCTTCATTCATTAGTATTCCTGAGTCCTGTGGATATGATTTAACCTTCTTTAGTTTTAATTTGAACTTGCATATAAGCAGCACCTGGCCTAGTTTTTACTGCTGATATTGAACTTCTCCAACAGTTCCTTCCACAGATATAATCAGTCTGATTCCTGTGCATCCCATTAGGTGAAATTCAAGCGTATAGCTTGCGTTTATGTTTCTTATAAAAGGTATTTGCTATGAACAGATCATTGATTGTACAGAATTCTATCATTCTTATCTCCAGCCTCATTTCTGTCACCAAGTCCATATTTCAGACTACTGATCCTTCTTCCTGATTCCCAACTTTTACATTCCAGTCACCCAGTATCATTAAAGCATCCTAGTTACATGTTCAATCGATTTCTGACTGCAACAATTAATAGAAGTCATGTATTTCCTCCTCTTTGGCTCTGGTTGTAGGCACATAAATTTGAATGACAGTCGTATCAACAGGTCTTCCTTGTATGAGTATGTATATTGTCCTGTCACTCACAAGATGGATCTAGAAATGGCCTTTTTAACTATGAAAGCAACCCTGTTTTCCCCCACCTTTTCATCTCCAGCATAATAGAGCATATGATCTTGGGATTCAAAATGTCCCATGTCAATCCATCTCATTTCACTAATACCCAATATATCAATATTTATGCACTCCATTTCTTTCTTTACAATATCTAGTTTACTCTACATTCATGCTTCTCACTTTCCACATACCAACTGTTAGTTTCTTCTTGTAACTGTTTCTCCACCTTTGTGTTTCCAAATTTGAGGGCTTAACTTCAGTTGCCATGTCTGTTATCTTAGGGCACACTCCAAGTGTGCTCTACTGTACATAGGGGTTTCAAAGGCCAGTTATGTTTCAGAAGTGGATGGCCAATCTTTCTTCGTAGGCACCTAATATGGTTAAATTGCATATTAAAAGTCACATACTCATTAGTAGTAGCAAAAATACCCTATTTTCAGCTAGGAAAGTTTTTCTCTTCCAGTATATCCCTCTACCTGCAACTTCCTTCTATTTATGTAATAAATAATATCATTAAGGAGCTCTGGTAACCTAGTCGTAAGGGGCTGTGCTGCCAACCGAAAGGCATGTGGATCGAACCCACGAGTTGCTCTACAGAAGAAAGATGGGCAATATCCTCCCATATGACATCAATAGTCATTTCATTTATCAAGGCTTCTCAGTACTTAAAGAGAGCTACATGTTGATGTATGGGATCAAATTAATATTTCAGATCTGATGGCATGGTGTGCTGTGTGTTCCAGTGTTAACTAAAACTCACTCACTCATTGCCATTTAATCAGAACTATCTCTTCATTAGCCCTCCAGTAAGCAGTTTTTAAGAAGTTTTCCAATAGGAGGATATCAACTCTTCTCCTAAGTCTTACTTGTAGACAGGAAGCACTAGAGAGACATATCACAACTCCCTACCGACTGACTACACCACAAGTTCAAACTCACCAGGTATTCTACGGGACAAAAATAGGCTGTCCTCTTCTGTGAAGATTTCCAGCTTTGGAAACTCAATGGAGGGTCTTGATGGACTTGACTCAAAGGCAGTGGGTTTAGTTTTGGGTTTGGAATTGATTTTTACATCTACCATTAAATTTATAGTAATAGTTCCGTAAACTTTAAGAGAGTGATAACACTTAAGTATTGCAGTTTTTCCAACATTTACTCTATTGTGTGACTAGCTGTTCCAAGTTTCTTGAAAGGTAACACTGATGTACACTTAGATAAGATACTATTTTTTCCACAATAAGGGTAAAGTAAGGAAATCTTTTAAGCAATTCAGTTAAATCCAAATTGTGTTATTTTAGTTAAACCATATGAGAAGATGAGTCTTGCACAGTTGAAGGAAGCTGAAGATGAATTTGATGACGAAGATATGCAAGCTATTGAAATATATAGGTACAATGATTTAATGGGATTAATTATGAGTTTCTTTTCTTCATTTTTTGGCCTTTACTTAAATAGAACCTTTACCAGTAATATACAGCAGAACTTTACTAAGTTACATATGAATAAAGTAGAAAATAGCAATTTTTAAAATGTCACAATTCTCCTTCTAATAAAGGTATCTTTTACTAGTTTCTGTGAAACAATTATATATATTACATAAGACACATTCCTTGAGGTATTATTGCCAGTTTCACAGTGATAAAGGAGTTTGCTTACTTCTCCCCAAAGTTAATGAGATGAGGTAGGGCTGCAATGAAGCAGATGTTGATGAGTCAGCTCCCAATTCTAATTAATAGTGACCCTCTGTACAAGAGATTGAAGCATTGCCTGGCCTTGTGCCATCCTGACGACCTCTGCTGTACTTAAGCTCATCCAGGGACTGGCCCTCCTGACAGCATGTTTGACGTATGTGAGACAAAGTGTCACAATCTTTGCTTCTAAGGAGTACAGTGGCTCCACTTTGCCAAGACAGATTTGTTCTTTCGGCAGTCCTTTGCAGCAAGGGTAATAAGGCATGTTGTCTGTGTGTTGTGGGGTACATTCACAAACTCTTGAACTCAGAAGTAGATTGAGGGAAGACCATTTTTTCCGTACACATCTAACACGTGCATCACAGTTTTAAGCCATTGTTCTGGCAGCAGGTATACTCCTTCGGTTGGTTGTTACTCACCTCATTGGAGCTGGGACTAGCTCATGGCTGATCTTCCAGCAGGTTTTCAGAGGATGTAAATTGCACAGGAGAAGGCTGCCTATCTTTCTCCTGCAGAGCAGCTGATGGATTTAAACCGAATGCCTTTGAGGTGACAGTGCAACCCCTTACCCAGTAGGTCATTTGACTTCCCTCTGGTGATATTAGGGCCCATGATTGGACCAGTAGTTTCTGATTCCTCAATTTTTAGATCGTGCCAAAGAAAGCCGTTCCCTTTGCAGACCAGTTCTACAGTGTTGCACGGGGAGTCATTTCTGTTAGTCCAGCCCACAGCCTACTCCTTCTGTCTTTCATTATATTTGTATGCCGTCAATTCTTTATATATAATTCCTTTCCGCTTAAAATAGTTAGAGAGCTTTCTGTTTATGCAGCTGAAACCCAAGAGAAAAGAGAGTTGAAAGCTGTAGATCATTGAACATTTGATGACTTCCTGGTGGAAAAACTAACCTATATGCTTCCCTCTCTCCTTCCCAAATACTACTGAAATAACAAAAAGTTAAAGGGAGCGGGGAAGAAATTAGGCATAGTTTCGTCTTCCCTGAAAGAAAACTTTTAAAATCAGTTTAAGATATTAAGGTAATGAAATAAAATTGAAGAAACTTAATGATAGTTACACTGAATACTTACTGCATTCCGAGTCAAGCTCATAAAAGACTTTTGGAATAACACCAGTTCTGAGTCTATATCTATATCACATGAGGGAATTTGATGGACTTTAATTTGAAAACTCTAAGAAAGCCTTGGACTTGAATTATTATCCTTGGCATTCACTTTGTAGGCTTGAAGTTTGCTTAAATTATTTGCTATATATATAAAGTGAGATATTTAAATGAATGTGCTTTTTTAATAAAATAAAAATTTCATTAAAAATAAATAAAAGCAATAAATTTGGGGCTGGAAGTATTTAAAAATTTTCATCACTGCCATACTTCCTAAACTATTAGCTGTATTTTTTCTTTATTTATTTAACATGTGAAGTAATGCCAGAGAAAGGAGGGGAATAAGTAGCTTGAGCTAACTTAGAGTCACAGAATCATTGGATATTAGGAAATTTACAAAAATGTTAGAAGCCATTTTAATTTTCCTCATGAATCTAACCATTCAACAACTGAATTGTTAAAATATGTACATTTTCAGAGAACTTGTGTGGTACAAATGTGAAGATTTCAGTGGAAAAAGAATAACTCTGTGGCATGAGCAAGATGACACATCCTTGATTGCTGAAAGGGGGACTTGAAGCACTTGCTGCAGTAAATGAAGGACCTTCAGATTTCTAGGCACAAACTGGTGATCACATCCAGGGCTTCATCCTTTTGTTTAAATATGTCAGGCAATATTCTATCAATTCCTGGGGTCTTATTCTTTGACAATTCCTTCAGAGTAGCTTCTCCCTTACCATTGCTTCTTGATCATACGCTATTTCATTGTTCTGTGTTGGCCAATTCTTTTTGATACAGTGACCGTGTACTCCTTCCATCTTCTTTTGAGGCTTCCTGGAACATTCTATATTCTACTGTTGCATCCTTAAGTATTGCAACTCGAGGCTTGAATTTTCTTTTCTTCAGTTCTTTCAGCTTAAGAAATGTAAAGAGAGTTCATCTGTTTTGATTTTCTGACTCCAGCTCTTTGAACATGGCATTATAACTTTGCTTTGTCTTCTGAGCTGCCCTTTGAAATCTTCTTTTCAGCCCTTTAACTTTCTGATTTCTTCTCTTCACTTTGGCTTCTCACCATTTTAGTGCAATATTCAGAATCTCTTCTAACATACATCATTTTTTGTCCTTTTTTTGTCTTTGTAATGACTTCTAGGGACAGCTACCTGGCCAACTGACTGGAAAATATCTGTATTTATTACAGTTCCCAAAAAGGCAATCTAACAGAGTGTGGAAATTATCTAACAGTATCACCAATATCACATGCAAGTAAAATCATGCTGAAGATTATCCACAAATGACTAGAAGAGTATATTGGCAGAGAACTGCTAGAAATAAAAGCTAGGTTTAAAAGAGGCCATGGCAGTAGGGATATCATTGCCAATGTCAAATGGATCTTGGCTGAAAGCAGAAAGTACCAAAAGAATGTCTATTGTTGATTTGTTGACATGCAAAGGCAATTGACTGTGTAGATCACAGAAGAATGAGAATCCCAGAACACATAAATCTGTTCATGTGAAATGTATACTTAGACCAGGAAGCTGTTGTACAAACAGAGCAAGAGAACATTACATGGCTCAAAATCAAGAAATGAGGGTGTCAGGAGTGTGTCCTCTCTCCAAACCTTTACAATCTATTTGGAACAGATAATTCGGGAGGCTAGACTTTATGGAAAAGTATATGGCTTCAAGATTGGAGGCATATCAACTACCTGTGCTGTGTAGATGACTCAATCTTGCTTCCTGAATCTGAGGAGTACTTCTGTTGCAGAAGGTCAAGGATTGCGGTCTTCAATATGGAATGCATCTCAACATCAAGTTTCTCACCACTGGGCCAACTGGCAGCATCCTGATAGATGGAGAAGAGATTGTGATTGTTCACAATTTCATCTTGCTCAAATCCACAATCCATACTCTTGGCACCAGCACTAAAGAAATCAAAAGACAAGTTGCTTTGGGATAGTCTGCTGTCAAGGATCTTTCAAGAGTGTTTAAGAGCAACAGTGTCAGTCTAGAGACTTACGTGAACCTGATCCAGGCCATGGTCTTCTCAGTTGCTTGCTATGCATCTGAGAGCTCACCATGACTAAGGGTGACATAAGAAGAAATAATGCCTTTGACTTGTAGTGCTGGAGAACAGTATTCAGCATAACATGGACTGTCAAAAGAACAAACAGGTCTATCCTAAAGAGAGCGAAATCAGGTTGCTCCATGGAGGCAAGCATTTTGAAGCTCCATCTCACATGCTTTGGGCATATTTCCAGAAGGGACCAATCCTTGGAGAAGAACATCATGCTTAGAAGGGTAGAAGGTCAGAACAGGAGAGGAAAACCCTGAATGAGATGGGTTGACACAGTGACTGCCACAATGGGGGGTAGGTATATTAGAGACAGATTGTCTCAGGATAAGACAGAGTTCAAAGCAAAGGCACATAACAATAGCTTTCAATTTGGATTACATCTCAACATCAACAAAACAAAGGTCTTCATTACTAAGCAAATAAATTGCAAAATCATGATAGATGGAGAAAGGATTGAAGTTGTCAGTGATTTGTTCTTACTTGGACTAACAACCAAAAACGTTTGGTACGAGCAGTCAAGAGATCAGGAGATAGATTGCACTGGGCAAGTCTGCTATTAGGAACCTCTCCAAAATATTGTAGAACAGTGATGTCAGTCTAAAGACTAAAGTGCACCTGGTTCAGGACATGGTCTTTTCAATAATGAATAAGGATGATAGTAGAATTGATGCCTTTGAATAGTGGTGTTGGAGAGAGTAATGAATATCTTATTGACTGCCAAAAGAACAAATATGTCTTAGAAAAAATGCAGCTGAAGTGCTTCTTGGAGATAAAAATGGTGACACTTTGTCTCTCATACTTTGGACATGTTTCTAGGAGATACTATTCCTTGGAAAAGGATATAATATTATGCTTAACAAGGTGGATGATCAGCAAAAGAGAAAGACTCCCAGTTGGATGGATTGACACAGTCATTGCAGACACTACAATCACAGGTTGGAAAGATGAATATTTCCAACAACATGGTTGATGGAAAAGATATCATATTGGGAAAGGTAGTGGGTTAGAATAAAAAGGATTATCCTCCACAAGGTGGCTTGACACAGAGACTGTGGCAATGGACGACAGAGTATATCAGAGATGGTGAGAATGGTGCAAAATAGCGTATGGTTCATATCTATTGTTTATAGGATTGCTATGACTCATAGTCAACTCAATGGCACCGAATAGCAGAGTATAGAAATTAATTTGAACAATGTCATTAATACCATATATAAGTAAAATATTGCTGAAGATTACAAAAAAAATGGCTGAAATAGAACATTGACAAAAACTGTCAGATATTCAAGCTAAATTCAGAAGAGAGATATCACCGTGGTCTCAGATGGCTCTTGGCAGAAAGCAGAGAATTTCATTCAGTGGGAAAAGGCATTTTTACTGTGTGGATGGATCATAACAATTTATGGCTAACCTTAAGAAAAATGAGTATTCTAGAACACTTAATTGTGCATGTGAAATGTATTCATAGATTAAGAAGCAGTTATCCAACCAGAACAAGAGAACACTGTGTTTTTTTAAATCTGAAAAGATGTGCACAAGTTTGTATCATTTATCCATCTGATTCAATGTGTATGCTGCAAATAATTTCAGAAGCTGGAGTATATGAAAAGGAATGTGGCATCAAAATTGGAAGAAGACTCATTAACAACCTGTGTTATGCAGATGACAAAACCTTGCTTGCAGAATTTGAAGACTTGAAGCACTTACTGCAGAAGATCAAAGATCTTCAGTATGGGTTGAACATCAAGAAAACTAAAGTGCTCACTACTGGAGTAATATGCAGCAGCTTGAAGAAGAGATTGAAGTTGTCAATTATTTCCTTTTACTTTGATCCACACCAATACTCATGGGACCCTTGCTTTTGTTATGTGCTGTCTCATGCTAAGACTCATACTGATCCTAAGAACAACAGATCAGAGCCTGGCCCTAAACTTTGCCATCTTCAAAAGACGTGGTACATTGGGAAAATATGTCAGGGACCTTTCCTAAGTATTAAAGAGCAGAAATATCAGTTTAAAGATTAAGGTGCACATGATCCAAGCCAGACAGAGTATTTTCAGTTCCTTCCTACGTATATGAATGTTGGACAGTGAATAAGAATGACTGGGGGGTGGGGAAGGGAATTGATTCATTACAATTGTAGTGTTGGTGAAGAGTTTTGAATGTTTCATAGACTACCAAATGAACAAACACATATATCTTGGAGGAAGTACAACCAGGATGGGAAAGGGAAAGAGTCATATAAAGAAATATCCTTAACAAAGTGGATTGGCACAGTGACTGTAATGGTCTCCCACGTGGTGGGCATTATGAGGATGGTGCAGGATAGAAACTAGGACTAAGTTCTGAACTGTTGACCATAGGGTCACTATGAACTGTATTTAAGTCACCTAGCAACAACAACATATGATTCTTTAAAAGACTATATGAATGCTACACATTTTTTAAATATATGGAAATGACCTAAAAATCTAACAGGTTTTAAGTGTAATTTAATTTCCTTTTTTTAATTAGAGAAAAGCGCATGCAGGAATGGAAAGCCCTTAGGATAAAACAGAAATTTGGAGAATTAAAAGAAATTTCTGGAAATCAGTATGTGAATGAAGTCACAAATGCTGACAAGGATGTGTGGGTTATAATTCATCTGTATAGATCAAGGTAATGACCATAGCATTTTCTCAAAATATTAATAAGCTGATGTTTTAAAAACATATATTTCTGGTGAGCTCTGGTGGCCTAGTGGCAAGAAGCTGCACTGCAGTCCCAAAGGTGTGCAGTTTAAATCCACCAGATTCTCTGCTGAAGAAGGAGGGACAATCTCCTCCTGTACCAGTCATTTCTGACTGATTTGATGGTACACACATAAAAAATAATTTTAAAAAAACAAAAACCAAAAACATATATTTCTTATTTTAATATTTTGTAAGACATATAGAAGTAGGCAAGGAAAAGATACACATGGGTACACATATTTAGAGTCTGATTTTCATTGACTCTCAGAATTAAATTAAGTACTTAGAATTATTATAATTTGTAATTTAAAGAGCATGCAACACTTAAAAAAATAAGTACTCTTCAGTAATTAATTTGTAAAACCTTTTCATTTAAAAAAGTTTTATACATATAAAAAGTGTGAAAAAATGAAAACTACGTATATCAGCTACCTATATGCAATAATTCATATTTTACTGTATTTATTTATGTCTGTATATTTACATAAACATTTTAAAGTAAACTATATATAACATAACTTCAGTCCTTTTGTGATTAAAATAGACTTTTAATATTCTGAAAATAATTTCTCCCAATCTTCTGTAAAACTATTATTTTAGTTCTTCCTTAAATATAAGCTATTTTTATTTCAATTATCTCACAGAAAATCACAGAGTATTTAACATGCAATTACGTTTATGATATTATAATTCTAACATATTATGCAATGTTGATAGACACTACATCAAATGTTTTCATGATATATACATATGAGAGTGTTAACATAACTTTAGTCTTATATGTTGTCATTGTTGTTGATTGCTGTCGAGCATGACTCATAGTAACCCCATGAACAAAAGACTTTATTTTTTATTTTCAACAATAAGGATTTCTTCTTGTACATTAATATATTAGCATTTTCACACCTGACAAAAGAAATAATTCCCCTAGTTTTGCATATATATTTCTTGTGGGAGGACACTGGCCACTGGCCATCTTTCTCTTGTGAAGCCACTGGTGGATTCAAACCTTTGGATAGATGGACCCTTTGGGATAGCAGTGCAACTCTCTATCCACTAGCTAACAGAGCTTCCTTCAGGCTATACAAGTCTGGTATTATGATACATCTTATTAGCATCAATGAAGAAATGGCTTATTCTTACCTTTAGAAATGATGCTTGAACCCTTGGCAAAGTCTCCTTCATCCTAGCCATTCCTTGGAGTCCAACAAGTGGTTCCACATATCTTCATAAGCCACTCTGCCATCTTCAGGGTTTGCTTCTCGCCTGGTCCATGCCCATTTGGAATAACCTTATAAAAGTTAATTAGGGAGAATACAATATATGCACGTAAAAGTTGGATGATGAATAAGAAAGACAGGATGGCTTTGAATCATAGTATTGGAGAATAGTACTGAATATATTATGGACTGCCAAGAAAACAAGCAAATCTGTCTTGGAGAATGGTGCAACCAAGATGCTCCTTATAGGCAAAGATGATGATAATTATTTTCATATTTTTGGGGCTTGTTGTCAGGAGGTGCTAGCCCTTGGAAAAGGACATTATGCTGGGAAGATAGGGGGTCTGTAAAAAAGAGGAAGACCTGCAATAAAATGTTAATACACAGGGACTGCAACAGTGTGCTTGAGCATGGTGGAGGCAGTGAGGATGGTGTAGGACAGGATAAGGTTTCAGTCTGTCTTCACTGGGTGGCTGGCTGTAAGTTGTAGTTGATTCAGTGGTACCTAACAACAGCACCACCACCACCATTGTACATATGCAAAGGTCCATAGCCAGGATGCTATTCCCTGGCTACTCCCAAAGCTGCAGTTTTGGGAGAAGGGAGCAGTGCTGTATCATTGCACAGAAGGATAAGGCAGATCATTTGCAATTCTACACCAAAGTGGAGCTGCATATTCCCAGAATTTCATTTCTCATAGAAGGAACATTTCTAATGTCAGTCCTCATTCTCTCTTGCCTTGGGGCTTTTAGCAAGTCCAAGGACAGAAAGCATAATTGTAACCTTCATTGTCCTCATTTTAATGTCTACATAATCAGTCTCTTCTCTTCCAAGGCTTCAGAATGAAAGCAAAAAGCAGTTTATGCCTATTTAAGCTCTGTTGTTTACCATATTAACAGTCAAATGTTGATAGGTTGCCATGTCCCATAATAGGAAACATTACTTTTATTACAGCTAGCATTCTTACTAGATTGATTTTTAAGTTATTTTAAAGTCTTATAATTACCTTTACTAAAACCAATTTCTAGATATTACTAGCATTATTTCCTTAAATAGTGTAGTGATAGATACATTTATAAAACTGACATCTTTATGTGACAAAGGTTAGACAATAAGTTGGCCCATTGGATATCTTTTCTGAGATCCATTATGGCAGAACAGTACTCATTTTTAGTAACAAAGTTAGTTACTTTAAAGGTTATTTTTAGATAAATTAATATAACATTGACAAGTGATTGTCAAGAGCTTAAATGGGGTTTTATCTAGTTTAAACGTAGCAATCATTCTATAGTAGAAAGGTGATGCAATCTTCTCCCATTAAGATTTGTAGTTTTGGAAGCTTGTTGGAAGTTGTCATGAGTCAGAATCAATGTGAGTGGGATTTTGTTTTGTTTTCCAAACACTTAAAGAGTAAGGGCTCTGTCTAGACATAACGGAACAACAAAAACATTCTGAGCAGCACTGAACTTTGCTGCAGTGCTGAGGAATGAGCCTTTTAAGGTGGACAGCACTCCCAATATGACTGGATAAGAGCTGAAGAGAAAATGTTAATGACACGCATGGATTAGAGCTTTTGGGATCTTCATTTGTGTGTGGCAATTCAAAATGAGAAGAAATGGCTGCAGATAGCCATTAATAATCAGGATACTGAATGGATGAAACATGAATCAAGGAAAATTAGAAGTTGTCAGAAATTAAGTGAGCCACATAAAGATGTCATGGACATTAGGAAGTGCAACCAGCGTGCTCTGTAGAGGCAACAATGGTAACACTTTGTGTGTATATTGGTACATGTTGTCAGAAGGCACTAACTCTTGGAAAATTACATGATGAAAAAAAATTTGAAGAAAATGACATGATGCTTGGAAAATTAGAAGGTCAATACAGGGAAGAATGAGATGGGCTGACAAAGTGACTGCAACAATGAGATTGATCTTAGTGGAGATTGTGAGGATAGTGCAGGGCAGGGCAAGACTTGTTCATGGTTCCGCTTCTGCTGTGAGTTAGGGTTGACTTGATAGCACCTAACAATGCATGAGTGAGGTGAAATAGCCTAGTGTTGACCATTTTTTATCAATCATATGGTCTATTATAATAGAAATATAAATGTAAAGGAACAGCATCACATTCATTATGAAAAACATTTCAAGAGCTATCCTCAAGTACAGTGCTGACAGTGATAGGTGATCTAAATACATACAAGGAGGACCTGCAAATACAACTATTATTTAAATTTATACTTTAACTGCTAAAACCAAAGATGAAGATATTATTTCTACCAGCCTTTGGAATATAAAACTTTATCAAGCTGTATAATAATAACTGATTTGTAATGCAAAAGTTGCAAACAAAAAAAGGATTGATTGATAGTTGGAAAATATAGCCCTGGTGTTAGAAACAAGGTCAGAGATTGCATTCTAGAACTTTATAAGACAAATTACTTATTCAATGGAAATACTTAAAAAAGCAAAACCCAAGTTGTGACTATTCGATATACTTTACCAGATGGTAAGTCACAGGAATCAAATGGAATGCATAGCTATAGAGTGGAAAAGGTCAAGAATAAGAAAAAGTCAAAACAAGGCCAGGTACCAACTATGGAACACTCCGTCAAATGCTCATTTATAAACTCAAGGTGAAGATGAAGAAAATGAAAGCAAATCCATAAGAACCAAAATGAAGTTAGAGATTGTCTCAGTAATAGATGTGATGGATTGAACACTAATTACAAAGACCAGATAAGTAGTGGGATGACATCAAGTGTATCATACATAATGAAAGAAAAAAGGCATTACAAAGATAGGAAATAAAGAAAAGCCCCAAAACATGTCAGAAAAGACTGAAAGGTAGAAATAGAGCTTGATAATGATATATACTCTTTTTGTTAAAAACTATGTAAAGATATATATTTTCCCCCTAAGAATCTTATAATGTTAGACTGAGACAAATAGTCTATTGGAATTTTTTAAAGTTATTATGTCTACTATTTCTCTTTTTAGCATCCCAATGTGTTTGTTGGTTAACCATCATCTCAGTCTCCTAGCGAGAAAGTTTCCTGAAACTAAATTTGTTAAAGCCATTGTGAACAGCTGTATTCAGCATTACCATGACAACTGTTTACCAACCATTTTTGTTTATAAAAATGGTCAGATAGAAGGAAAATTCATCGGAATTTTAGAATGTGGAGGCATAAATCTCAAGGTAGAAGGTAAGCATATTTTTATTTTAAAAATTACTTATAACAATAATGTGCAAACTCCTATAAATTAAAAAGTATTATGAAAGTTTCTTTCCTTAAAAATGTGGCTGTTTTCTTTAGTCTTTTTCTGTATGTCCCCAGATTTACTACAGTGATAGATTTGCTTAACAGTTCTGTTTCCTACTGCAAATGAGATGCAAATGGTCTTCTACTTTAGAATCGGAGTCAACCTATCCAACTAAATTTCTCAGTATTTTCTGGTATTCAGGCACTGCTTGCAGACATATGTCACTATTTTGGGTAATCCTACTTTGCTTTATATTCTTTTTCTTTACTTAAAATAGCCTACTATTCTTTATTTTACCTGAAGAAATGCTATTCTTTTTTTAGTATTCTCCAGTCCTATTTATTCCATTATATAATACTGGACAAGTTTAAATTCTACACTTCTCTTCTCTATAGCATGTATTCTCTACAGAATTTAATTTTTTTTTTAGGTAAGCCTTACTCTTTTTTTCCTTCTTTTTTTTTTTCTATTGTAAATTTAGTGAAAACTTACAGAAAGGGTGGTTTTCATGCATTCATTGAAAGACGTTTTCCCTCTTCTCCCTCCCCTAATTAACTTTGTAATGCATGTCTTGTTCAGATTGCCAATTGTCATATATAAAATGTCTCATCATACATTTCTTTCCAGTAGTCCTTCGCTTCCCTTATTCCACTGTAATGCTCATTAGCTATCCATTCATTTTTTTGCTCTCCCACCTTACTATGTCCATCCTGCTTTTTTAACAGTGGTCTCATATAGTATTTCTCTTTTTGTGACTGAGACATTTCATTCAGCATAATATCTTCCAGACTCATCCAAGTTGTTGCCTTCGAATCAAGCACAACTCTATGAACAAAAGGCCTGAAGCCCCTCTACAACTATTGACATTTATCAAAGTTCATAAAGTTTCTAGAGGAATGTTGTTTAGGAAGTGGATGCCACTCCTACTTTCAACAGGGACCTCTACAGAGCTCAAAAGCAACAATGTCAGTCATTGAGTCAGTCACTTGGGGGTGCTATCATTAAGCACCCACATGCAAACCAAAAGCTCTCAGTTTGAACCACTAGCTAGCTACTCTGCAAGAGAAAGATATAGCAGTCTGCTTCCAGAGACATTTACTACCTTAGTAACCCTACACGACAATTCTGTAGGGTCACTGTGAGTTGGCATTAACTTGATGGCAATAGGTTTTGAAAATTGGGTTGCTTCAATTGCTGCAGAATGACCCTCTCTTTTCTGTCTC